TTCTAGAGCTGATTTAGTGAAAAAGTTATGCCATTTTTTTGGTATCTGACTTCCTAATGTTGCGATGTACTTTATCCCAGCAGTGGTGAACTTGTGTACTTTTTGTGAAGTTATACTACTTAATCTTTGTAATCACCAATTTCAGGATGAGTGTTTTGAAAGACACAAAGAATAGCCTTGTCGATTTTTCAGAGTTTTGCCACTGCAACACATACTTAACGTTTTATAACATTTGGAATGTGGTTATTTCTTCTTTCCTATCAGTGGATTTGGGTAAAGTTTTAGTTTCCTGTCGTGTAAATACAGTAGTGTTTTGTCATACATTTGTAATGGATGTAGAAACTTTTGCTGCTGAATTTTTTAAAAAGGTAACTAATTAAGCCATGCAAATGCTATACTTGTATGGATTTGATGAAGCGTGTGAATTCAATAGTTATGAACTAAGTATTTCAAATAGATAGAAGAGAGGTTGGCCTTATTTGGGGATTTTAACTGTTGAACTTTTTGGATCACCAATCTGAAGGATGATGCATAGTTAGTTGGGGTGTGCTGAGAGTTGAGTAATTTCTCATGCATCGGAGAAGCTAACCAACGGCATCGGGTGTTTCGACCTGGTGATGCATGCACAATGCAAATCGTCAGCTAAAAAATAGTTCTTGGCTTAAACTAGTCTTTTTGAGGAATTTTTGCCCAGAAACACGTTTAAAGAAGGTATTTCATCTTCAACAAAGTACTAACTGGTTAGTTAAAGAGCAAATTTGGATACCTTCTGTGCAATCCTGGCGTGCTTGATCTGCCTTTCATTACGCTATTGCACAAAAGGGACGATTGGATCGGAACATTGTCCGCTTACATAAGGAAGTGTCGCAAACACCACCAGCACAAGTGTCGGCTTTGGTCAGACTACACAGTGGCCATCAGATAAAACGTCACACTTGGACATTTTGGTTGATAAATTTTTTGCCTCTAGAAACTATGCATAGGGTACGAGTTACATTGTTCGTCTACGTAGAGCACGTGACTAGAAATATTCAAGCACCCTTAGCACACTGTTGCTCAAACACTCAGTTTACCATGCCTAATGGTTATGTCAACGCCAGTTAAATGCCTCACTTCCTCTCCACTTGTAGTTTTAAGTTTACCGATGCAAAAAAATTTTCATTGTGGAATGGGACTGTGGATACGTAAGTCGCTAAAAAGTTGAGGGGGATTAAATCACCAAAGTAGGTCACATGCGATGAGAAGACAGGTCATTATTTCCAGAATAACATGGAAGCGGGCTTACTCTTTCGCAATGTTGCGATGCCCTTAAACTTTAGTTTTAAAAGCTGGCTCTTGCAGTGCCGTCCCACCCTCCAGTGGTTTTCTCAACGAATCTTTCGCGAAAGCATCTTACCGTCATCAATGATGTGGTAGAGTGAACTTTGAAATGATCGGTCCTAATTTCGTGACAAATTCGCCATGTCTCTGGCTTAAAAGGCGTCGAATTTTGTAAATGGAGAGAGTGGAAGAGGGAAGCCCAGGAGACGAAGACGTGATCTTAGCGGAACCAGACACCCTGAAAGTACTGGGCGCGTCTAATCCGCCCACGCACTTTCGTGATGTACAATGACGTGGGTGCGTGCACCTCTGCACCATTGACTTGCATCACGAGCTCTTGAAGGTCGTCTTTGTCCATGCGAATGTAGTGCACTGCATCGTGCCATCGTGTCGCATTGCGTCACACCTCTCGCACTTTTGCAGTCCATTTCAATGTACCGCGATACACCTTGTTTGGGCTGTTTTGACTGTCAACCCCAATCACCACTGCTGAAGTCGTGAAGTCGACATTTTATGCCTAATTGCGACCGAATTCTCCCCTTCTTCGTGAACGATTTGCCCCATTTCAGTCTCTTTTGTTGTAAATGAAGGCATATTTACAGCTCTACGTGTCGAGTGATGATAAAGAGGTAATCTTCCAACAATTTAATGACTGTCATCGCACTTTCCTGTCATCAAATACATTTGGAGCCATTTTGTGGAAGCACTATGATGGATTTTGAAATACAACAGGTGCCTTCTACAGTAAAAACCAAGTGTAATTTACCATGACAAATTTGCAATTTATTATAGCTTTTAATATAACTTTATGAAGGCCAAACTTTCACACATGACTTTCCATAATGGAAAATAAAAGTGAAATTACGTTGACTGAGGCAATGCACTTTTCCCAAGACTTCGATGCGGAAGCAATGAAAGCGCCAAATTCACCCACCGGATTTCACTAATTATGCATTTAAGAGTTTGTAATTTTTTTTCTGGAGAACTATCACGTTCCAAGTCCATTGTTCCATCACAGAGGCCTTTCTTCCTCCAGAACGTGGCAGAACACTGTGGGCATTGACAAGCATGCTCATCACTTTTGGCAGTCTACCTTTGGTGGGACAACAGGAAATAAAGAATTCGATCTGACTTTCCCTCTCCAGTCGTAAAGTTAAAATATGCCTTATAACACCTCAAATTACTGGATATAAGTAATTGAGTTCTGACTGACAATTCGAAATTGCATTTAAGCTATCAAATTGCAAATGAATTTGGGTTTGCTTTGGGATCACCATTCACTAAATCTTTAGCAGCATTTACTGTCATCACGAACGCTTATATAACCTCGGTCGACAGTGTTTTTTCTTCATTTGCTTTAAAGTAAAAAATATGACGATGCGCTTTAAGTCCTGTAATGTTTGGTTAAAATTTTTGGAGCAAATAGAAGTAATCTTCCCACAGTTGGCTTCACGCCAGCTCGGGATCCGTATTAAGACGATTTGACAAAAATTTCAAACTTTCCAGACAAACAAAGAGTAGCTTGGTTTGCAAGTGGTGAGACGTACGCCTTCAACTGGTTTTCAATTTGGAGACGAGGTATTTTTTTATCTCTACACAGAATCGCATGCCAAGAAACTAAGCTGGAAGGCCCCAACCTTGGAGGATGATGGAAGTGAATTCCCTCTCACCAATTCCTTGTAAGTTGTGCACAATTTGAAATTTTGATAAGTCAAAAATATCGTTTTGTTTAAGCTTTATCATTAACAGAAAACGGACTTTTATTTTGGTGAGCACCTTTCCATGAACACGCAAGTAGTAATTTGGCCAAATCAACTCAACGGGTAATGCTCTGCCCAGTCCGTGCACGAAGGCGATTGCCCTTGAGAACGTCCAGACGCAGCTGACTCACCGCGCCGGTCGGGTCAAAAAATCTCTCCACTTCCTCCCGCTCCGAGTTGGCACGGCCTCTCCGAGGCAAAATTACAAAGCACTTACAAATAATCCTCACTTTGTAAATCTAATTGGAAAAAATAAACGCATAAAGTAGAATTACTTTGACTGTAATTTCAAGATGAGTTATTGCATTCGTGCTTTCCTGTCTATCAGGATGAAACTCTCGATGTAAGGCCATTCAACATTTGCTCAAATCTGATGTTGCAAATTTAGCATTAAATGTGAATGTCAAACATAAATGCTTAGATCAAATCTTTTGGTAGATTAGTAGCAATACCTTTTAAAGGATAGTGGATGTATTTGAGATTTTCATCGCCTTCTTTCTTTTCTCGGCAGAACTGCAATGAATTTCACGTTATTTGCCCCTCACGCGATTGATAAGCGGGCAATCGTGCAACATTGGAAACGAAAGTGTGGAACTTATCGAGGGAAAGAGGGAAATGTCAATCCTGTTTCCTTCCAATCAGTCAAGCTGACTAACGGGCCGTTTAAATATTTAAAAGGTCTTAAGTAAAGTGCTTACCTTCCCTCTAGCAGAGTAGTTTGTAATTAAGGCTAGGTAAAGCTACTTCATTCCTTCCCATAAGTTTACTGTTTGTGGTAAGAAAACGAAAGTTGCTATCGCTTCGGAAACTGTAAGGTTTTCTTCCACCAACACGATACGACTCTGTAGAAACATCTTTTAGGAATGACAAACACCTCCACTTGGGAATTCTGAGGAGATTCTGCGTTTTTGATCAGCAGTTTACAATATGCAATGCAAATGCTTTGTTGAAACTTTACAGACGTTACTTTGTGTAAAGAAAACGATGAAATTCTAGGTGTTCCAAATTATCAGCTTTAGTCCATAGCTTGGGAATCGCTAAAGACTTGTGACAAAATATCTCTGTAATTGTTATCAAAGCAAAAGAAACACTGTTTTTTGCAGACGCTTAAGTGTTGGAAGGAAAAGTGAAAGTTATTCGAGGATATCAAATGCGCTCGATGGGCCTGAGTGGAGGCGCATGTGCCTTCAACATGATGCAATTTGTCGGGTTGCTTAGGCAAAAAGGTTCCTTTGTGATACCTTCATCGCTCTGCTAGTCGTGCACGCGTATTGAGGCTGGCGGTTTTAAAAAGGAAGTGTGTTGAGAAGTTGCAAAAGGAGTGGTTGTTCACTCAAGTCTCATTGCTCGTGAAAGTGGCCATTTGAGTGTGACCAAGTTGACGCACTTGACTGTGAAGACAGGTTTTTATCGATGAGTGCTCTGATGGCAGCATTTTAAGATTTCATGGAGATCTTCTTATGGCGATCGAAACAATGGCATAGTGGTTGCACACATTTCTTTTAGACAAATTCCAACTCAAATACGGAGGCTCAAGGAAGCTGTCCTAGCCATAACCTTACTGCATCGAAATGTAAGCATTACTACCAGTCAGTCAGATGGATGGCGGACATCCCCTCCCAACGAAAACTCCACCTTGCAAGGCTCAAGGAGTGCCGGTGGTGGTTGGTCTCACCTCCCTCCTCTATCTTCAATGCATGCATTTGCCTCGCCCCCATCTCCACCTCGGTCAAACACTTGCCGCGTCCTTTTATGAACTTCTCCCTCCCCACCCACTTCCAACCTCACCCACGCCTGCACCCCACATCTCAGTCTCCCAGTCCTCACACGCACTCCCTCATTGTCGTCAAATGTAAATAATGAAGCAGCTTCCTGAACTGCATGCATCATCATCTCATGATGATTCACCACACATCACACTCAAACGGTTTCTGCACCACTTCCGGGTGTTACGTTCTGCCGTCCCACACCTCCATCACCTCCATCAATTGCAAGGCAATTGATTGTGAGGAAGCCGACTTTCACGGACCAGCCACCGGGTCGGTTTGGCCTTGTAGGACAGAGGAGTGTGGAGCATATCCCCTTTACTGGTTCCACCAACGAAACACGTCGTTGGTGAACCCATTGTCGGAGTGCAGTACAATCAAGAGCACAGCCAAGAGTATAGTAAATTGCCGTGTCGATGATAGACTGGCTCATGTCACTGCTTGACAATGCATACAAATAAACAATGACGCGGGGTTTTTGAGTGTCTACAAGTTACAACAAGCTGTGCCACACTGAATAATCAACGAACTTCTTCGAAATCTGCATGTCAGCTTTAAGCACATTCTACCACCTATAAAGATTTTACCAGCCAAGAAAGCTGCAAACACCACTTGTCCTCAGCAAACTGATCTGGAGGCATTGCTTCCACCTTTCAGATTTATTGTTAGGAGACGTGTAATCCACTTATCGTGTGAATGTGGGTCGCAATATGCTTTGAAGAATGTTTCGAAGGAACAGGATCATGCAATTAGCTAGGAATTTGCATTTTCGATTGGAAGAAACCATGGAATGTCCGCGTTGCGCACACAGCTTGAAAGCCACTGGAAGTATTACGACTTCAATGGGACGTTGGACTGATCTCACTTTGCCTAAAAGTGTCTAACCGTAACTGTTATCATAAATCGTTTCACGTAGGCCAAACTTTCATCAAGTGTCTGAACGTCCTCACAGTCAAAATATGGCTTATGAGTAAATGAAATCTTTCCCATAAATCATTCTTTTTAAAGAGAAACCGGTGAGCGCCGATGGAGTTAACTGTGGGAGTGACTGCTCCACCTGACATTTTTACAAAGCGTTGAGTTGACAACTCCAAACTCATCCATGAACGCCATCAAATGCATCTTAATGACATCCTCATATGGCCTGTGTGCGTGGCTGAAACGTGTGAATTGGATACCACTTCCTCCTATTTGGATAGCATCCGTACTAGCACGTCATTTGCTTTAACGACAGGTCTCACGTGAACAGGAAGGTCGTGTTTGTTAAGGCTGATTTCTCTTTGAATGCACGCAATTTGCTTATTCGACTGGAAGGAGAGGGTGGAATTGGCCTACATTCCGCTGGCGACACGAGGTCTACCAACTGTGGCATTGTTGATTTTGCGTGATCGTAGAGGCTCATTATTGAGGTGTTTTTGCAGTTGATGCGAAAGTGAATGCACCCTCACGGATGGCCTTAAGTTCAAGGTCGGAGGCGGCGTGATATTCTGCATATGTGAGGGTCAGCAAGTTAATCTGATAACAGGCCAAATGCGGTAGATATCATGTTTTGGCAATAATGTTGGTAAAATCAACCTTCGCCAGGTTAAACCAGAGTGTTTTAATCGATTATTCTAGCATTTTTCAGCTCCCTGAGCATTCACACTAGACCATTTTAATCGCGTTAAGAAGGGAGCTTCAGGATCCATTTCACTTAATTAAGAGTTTAAGCCTCTGCGTTGAACGCAGGGCATAGAGAAAGAAAGTGATGAGGCGATGTAGGCTAAGAGAGATGGCGAATTGAGTGTGTTGACCGGTTGTTGAGGCAGTCTTTACCAAAGTGGATAAGAATGGATTTATTTTCACATCGTTCGCATGGTGTAGTGACCGAGAGGTCAGCTGAGTAACCTCGTGGTGGAAAAGTGACATGTTGTAATCTCCCAGAAAGAATGTGCCTTGAAAACGCCCTCTCTCCCTCTGCTTTCCATCTCTTCCCTTTAAATCTTCCGTGTACGCAGGTTTACT